CAGAGCATTGACAGCTGTACAGCAGGCTCCATCTGGGTTGCCAAATGGTGAAACACACAGGATTCAGGCTGCACAGATAGAAAATTGCATTCCAGAATGTTGAAGTTTGCCTTGCGACAAAACCACCTGGATTTGAGCAGTCCGGTGTGATATGCACAACACTGAACCAAATTTGCACTGGCCCCTCTATAAGTGGGGCAAAATACCATGACCGAACTGTGAGCGCAGGGCAACATATAGTATTATCGTACCAAAATAGAGTCTATAATGAAGACTTGGCTGAATTCCTGGCTATGACAAATGAAGCAAAAATTATCTAATTTAGACATACGTTTATATTTTAAATATTATAGTTCCTATTTTGTATTTTTCTCTCTTGTGTTTCTCCCAAAATGAGATGTGAATCTGCCATACGATAAATAAAATGCACACCATCACTCATTCCTTGTTCATCTCTTAGCTGGATTACTGAAGTACACTTTACATGGGGCTACCCTTGAAGAGTGTTTGGAAGCTACAACTAGTACAGAATGCAGTGGTGTGACAGTTCTGGTGGCTGTTAAGGTGGTGGATATAACACCACAGTTGCACGAACTAAATTGCTTACCAATTTGCTTCTGGAGCCAATTCCCATGATTTTAATTATTTCTTTAATTCTTTCTTAATTTTAATTGTTTTAAAACTTATCTGTTTGCCGTTTTGTAAGCTGCCCAGAACTGCTTTACCAATGTGATAGGTGGCATATTAATGTAATCTATTTATATAAAAGAGAAAGGCCACTCACGCATCATCACAAAATTTCCAAAACCGTAAAACCTACAAACTTGAAATTTGGTACGTAGGTTCCTCTTGGCTTCTAGGGGCTCACTAAGAAAGGATTTTTGGAAATAACCATCAGAGCATTCGTATTATCCTATATTATTATTATTAACATGCTCTGATGCTAAGGAGTTCTACTCCCCCTCCCCACCTGAAAAGAAATCTGCTCCAAATGCAAAACACAAGCAGAGGAGTTTCAATTTCACAGCACCAAACAGCTTTAGTACAGAACAGTTGAGCTAAGCCACGGCCAGGCTCCTTGCTGTCTCTTTCTTGCTCACACAGGAAATACTGTTTCACTTTCCAAACAGCCCTTAACTCTCTCACACACTGACGGGACGCTAGCCAGATGAACACCGATGGATGCTGGTAGGCAGAGGCAGAATTTTCCCTCCCATATTTTCTTCCCCAAAAACTAAGCTTGGCCACATAGTTTTCGTAGCGAAGCACGGGGATCGAGCTAGTAAAGAAATAAAAATAAAAGTACCTCCCAGGACATGTGACTTTGCCTTCTAAGAACGAGAAACTGTGGAATGCAACCCTCTGTGTTTACACTGTGTGACCAAATAACTTTTAAGATAAACAGAACCCGAAGGATTCCTCGGGGGAACCAGAGATTGGGGTTCACCCCACCACTTCTGAGTACTTCGCCCATCACGTTCAAACTCAAAACAGGATAGAAACAGGAATGTGATCTAGTCAGTTTCAAAAGCCTGTCTAGTAGGCAGTTTCACGGTACTGATTAGCAAACTCAAGTGGCCAGTCCTGCTTATCAGAAAGTCCATTTTTCTCTAGGCTGCTCTGAATAAACGAAACGAATAATTTATGCCTGGCTTCCTCCAACTTGGCAACTTTTAGATTGCTGGACTTCAGCTCCCAGAATTCTCCAGCCAGCAGGGTTGGTTGGGGGAAGGATGGATGTTGAAGACCAGCGTCTTCAAAGTTACCAAAATTGGTAAACCCTGGTTTATGAGTGAAAGAATAATTGGAATTATGAAATGCGTTAGTCTATATTGCCCCTTTATGCTCACCGGGCATTATTATCTCGATTCGTGAGTAAATATCCTGATTTGTGCGATCACAGGATCTTATTATCAGATGAATCTGATTTCATTTCCTTGACTGCACTCTGGGAAACCCTTTGAGGCCGGGGTCTCCAACCTGGGCCCCTTGAAGACTGGTGGACTTCAACTCCC